ACTACCTTGTTTCTGTAAGCTTTTGTTAAGCCAAGATCATTACCTATAATCGCCTAATATTTCCATGTGTTCCTTCCTGACCTAGTCGGAGCTATGTGTTCTCCTCCCTGGCCTCCTCGGCAGTGTCTTTTGCCACTGGGGCGTTCGGGATGTGGATCCCTGTGTACCTGGTCCGAGCCCAGGAGGTCCAGAAGACAGTAGAGGTCTGCACCAAAGAGATCTGCAGTAGCAAAGACAGGTGAGAGGTTATTGACTCAACACAGAGTGCAGGCTGTTTACTCACTAGTGTAAAAGAGAGGGATGGAAGCGCACTTTGTATTCAAAGCTGGCTAAACTGCTATACAGCTGCCATGGTTCAGTCCAGTTCATCTATTTATAATGAGAGGTTTTCATTCATTCTTTCCTAATAACTCATGCGTCTTCTTTACTGAAACTGAATTTGTGTGGGTGCATGAACTCAAAACGTGCAAGATATTTGAAATAACGGTCTTGCCTGTGCTCTCGTGTCCAGCCTAATCTTCGGGGCAATCACCTGTGTGACGGGCCTGCTGGGCGTGGTCATCGGGGCGGCCACCACGCGCCTGTGCCGCCAGAAGACAGAGCGAGCCGACCCGCTCGTGTGCGCCGTCAGCATGCTGGGCTCAGCCATCTTCATCTGCCTCATCTTCGTGGTGGCAAAGAAGAGCATTATCGGAGCCTATGTAAGAGTCACTTTCTGTTACTTGTCTGTGTCCATTGTGTCTCCAGCAGGGACGTTTAAAAATCGAACGGTGGAAGTAGTTGTGATTAGGTCACTTTTTGCTTTCCTCTTGCTCAGAGAATCAAAAGGTCATCGCCTAGACGTGCTCTAAGAGCAATTAGCATCCTCAGGGTCAAAGAAATGAAAGTGTGCTCTATCCAACCTAACAAGAGGTTATCATCGGGTGGAGTCTATGTCTGAATCGGGAATGAATCTGTAAAAGGACACGTGCCTGATGCCAGTCCCTTTCAGGCCCACAGGCAGTGAGTGGGGCTGCTTCTCATAATGTCAAATCGAGAGGCTCCAGGGCCGCTGCAGGTAACTGAGGCTCCCAACTCGTCTGGCCAGAGTGTCGGGCTAATGCTTGGAGAGCTTGTGTCTAATTGACTTTGTGAAGCAGGAAATGGGTGCAACTTCACAATCAATGCTTTGAAACAATGCACTCTGGGATTTTGGACTCAACAAGCGCACATTTCTCCGTCTTATCAGAGACAAAGGAAGAGGAACTGACTCTTAACAACTTGGTCGGTAAAAACACTGGAAAATAAAGAGAAGTAATATTGCATGTAACAGAACATAACAAGCAGCCTTTCATATCCTGTGTTGGACCTTGGCATGTTTTACCTCAGAAAGTGTGTAATCCTTGTTGTTTTCTCAGGAACAACTTAAGCCCATCTCAATCAAAAGACAATTACATTGTTAAATGACAACCCTTATTAAACAAGTGTGGGAGCCCCTACATACTGTATGGAGCAGCTGTCAGGAGAACACCAGATTTCTGTCTTTGCATTGGTCTCAAAGGGTAAAGACGTGGTCAGCCGATGCTTTCCAATGTTACTTCTCTCACCAAGAATAAAGAATCCTTGATTCATGTAAGCAGCACCACCAGCAGCTTAACCGTAACATGCCATGACTTTTAACATTGCGACTACTCTACTGTATAGTGTTAAATCACCGGGCGGTGCAGCAGTTGTAAGTGATCGGCTCAAGTTCCACGGCAAAGCGCTGACAGATGTGTCGTGTTATAAGGCGTGACGTGGCAGCGACTGTTGACCCCTCGCAGCTGTTGTCTCGTCAACACATCTGAGGAAATAGTGGGCTTCTCTTTTTCTAAGAGCTAACATTTCGGTCACGCTGTCTGGGTTCGCAGCTCTCAGAACAGACATCTCCTCTGTCAGGCTCCCTCTATGGCTCTCTGTGCTGTACTGTACGTCTGGCACGCAGGCAGAAGGGTTATTCCCCGGCAGGAAACACACAACGACCGGCTGTGTCAAACCGTACCAGACGAAACGAGCCAACACCGCCACACGAGATTCCACTGCCACCAAATCCCTCTGCGTCCGTCTTAAAGAAAGTGGCCAAATAAGCAACCCCAGTTGGCACATCCAGTAGCACTGCAAAATACATTGAGAGCGCTGCATGCCATGTTATGTTATTTAATGTGTAATTTCTCTGTTCTACCCAATGAGAACTAGGACATAAATTAAAATCGTGCAGCTGGATCTAAACTGAATATGCAAGCTTTGAAAAGAAAAAACTCTCCTTAGCATCCTGTGTTGTTTTTTTCAGCTCCAAGGCAAAATACCGAGCTCAGTGAGGCCACAATTGGGTGTAAAATATTTTCAAGCCACGGCAACCAAAGCCATTTTGTTCAGCACAGGATTCCCATTCAAAGTAGCAACATTTGCCGCCTCCTCTTCTGGCTTCCTGTCTGGTTACCAGTCTTTAGTGCACAGGAAATTGGCTGATCCTAATGAGCACCACTAAATGGACAATTCTCCTTCTGCTTTATCTATTTAGGTTTGCATCTTTATTGGAGAAACACTGCTTTTCCTGAACTGGGCCATAACAGCAGACATTTTAATGGTAAGTACAGAGGACCTATACTTATCTACTGGGTCACTGGAAAATCCTGCAAAAAAATTGTTGGTTGTCCAATTACACAGTTTTGTGAAATATGTGAGTGGAATACAGTTTGGGTGGGGCTAATCATTACTGTCTAGTTCATTTGAATCCTGCTCTTTTCATGGAAAAGAAATGGGGCCTTCCATCCAATGTATGTTTATCTAAAAGTGAACACCCTAGGTCAGGTGACCCATATGACATTAGGTGGGTGTGCGAAGCCGAGTCAGTGTACAGACTTGACTGCATGTGTTGAATCTCTCTACCTCTGTGTCTTCATCATTTCACCCGATCCTGCGTATTTTTCCCTCTGTGCGCGCAGTTTGTCGTTATCCCCACAAGAAGAGCAACGGCGGTCGCCTTCCAGAGCTTCACCTCTCACCTGCTGGGGGACGCAGGAAGTCCGTACCTGATAGGCCTGGTAAGAACCCCTCCAGATAAACATTCAGGGCACATCTCCGCTCAAACTATACACGCCAGATACAGGTTCAGCTCCTGGTTTTAAGTGGGCCAGTGCAAGGAGGAGCTTTCGCACACCTCTCAGGAGAGCTGGTAACAAGGTTGCGATTTCACCGCTGCTCATCGGGCTGTCAGCGGCGTCTTCCAGTAAACCTGTGTTACTGCATCAGAGTGGTCGGGAAGTGAAAGACCAGCTCTTACTGGTAGGCCTCTCAAGGTCAGAGTCACCCAACCCCCCCCGTCACCCCTCCCAACCCATCCAAACTACACGCAAACAGCCAGAATACGTATACAGAATAAGTGTGGCTTGCTATCCGGTGGAGCGTAAAACAGGATCCACCTCAGATTGTCGAGCGGCATTCTTCTCATTCCCAATTGAGTTGAACACATCTGAAGTTAAATAGTAACTCCGTGGAGATACACATTCCCTATGCCTTTTTTGAGCATACAGGAAGAAAGCAGAAATTAAGCAATACACAAAGACGGGCTACAGGAAAATCACGGGCCGCTTCTCAATCTCTGCATCAAACCCTAATGAATAGCTTTAAAAAAAAATCTGTATTCACAATGCACTTTATTGCCACTGAATTGCTGGGAGAGAAATGACAGTTTACTTTGTGTTTTATTGTTGCGCCTCTGGCTTACAGCTCAGGTCATGTTTACAAAAGAAGGTGAAGTCCTTGATTAGTGAAGCAAACTGATCCCTGAGTTCCTCTGCCAGCCGGCAGCACACGCAGCTGTCTGCCGAGCTGCATTGAAACGTCCTGTTTTTCTTTTCCTCCTTAGATGGAAATGTTACTGTGCTACTATTGTCAAAGCCAGATAAAAGGGATCATTAATCCATCTCTTAGTACTGACAAACTCTTCTAAAGACTAAACAAAAATGGTATTAAAGAAATAAAAAAGATCCACATTCTGGGAAACAAAAAGCGGCGGTGCATAGTTTCTGCCGATCAAATAAATCTTATATTCTACAAACGTCTTGGAGACACGTTAAGAGATACAGTACTTTGAATGATTTTGTGGCTCCCGTCTGGATGACTTTAATTCTACAGATGTAAATAATTATTATAACTAGTGCTGAAAAGATTTGATGATTGACAGCAATTAACAAACAAATGAATCATTTCAGTAGTTAAACAAAAAAAAACATGCATTTAAAATTTGCTGTTTCATATGATAGTTCAGGGTAAATTTAAAGGCTCTGCTTTACTGGAAAGCCATGCTTGGAGGATCAGTCCAAACAGAGCATACACATTCAGAACAAGGCAAAGAAAAAAAAACATAGAAGTTACGACAATTGCTGAAATATAATGATCACACAACGTAACACAAAGACAATCTGGCAGCGGAACAGCAAAAAAAAGGGAGTACATAAATGAATAAGACTGACGGCAAAATCAGGGGCAGTTGAGTAATTGATGGCAGGTGAGGGCAATGTCAAAATACACAAAATAAAAAACGTAACCTCCGCAGAGCTGAACATCAACTACATTTTTAATAATTGGATGGAGCAGCGCAGAAATATTACTTTCAGCTCTCAAAACTTTTCATCTATTTTCTGTAAATAAATAAAAGATGAATTTATAATGAAAATATTATTTAAATGCATCTTCAGTTTCAACCTTAAAAAAATCAGCATTTTATAATCCCGGGGTCAAGCTATAACCCCAGGATTATAAAATCCATCTGCCGTTAATATTTCCTCCGTGTAATCACGATAATATTTCCTCTGTTAGTTTTAAAGCGGTCTCTCTCTAAGCTGCGTTCTTCTGTTGGGCCTCATCCAGTGAAATAAAAGGGAAGGAATGCAAAATAATGACTGAAAGAAGAGTCACACTTCTGCCGTGCCTGTATGAGATTAGTTTGTGTTCCAGTACCACATATCACCACATAATTCACAGCTTGCCAAAAAATCATATGTAGAAAGGAAGCTTCACAATACAATTGTTCTGCTAACATTCCTGCAAGTTACCACATTCAGAATAATGCAGAAAACACACAGACACACACATAGACACACACACACACATCAACCAGACGTGGCCCCACAGTTTTCAATCCAGGCTGCAGGGTCACGGCTCTCCTCTGAGTGACAGACTGAATGTCCGGGGGTTTCTCACTCCTCCACAAACCCCACAGCGCGGCAGCACGTTACCTCTCCCTGCGTCAGTTCCCCATCTGAGCTTTAGCACGGAAGTGCGATGGACTCATTGTGACGCACGCTCAGCGCAGCCAGATATGCAGTCACCCCTGCAGACTGACACCGACCGATACTGTAAATGAGTAAATGTGGAGTCTCGGGAAAAAACGGACCTGTGGTTATTGCTAGGCAACCACAGGAGAAAGTGAGCCTGTGAGTCCTTTTGGTTCCCTGTTGGGTTTTCAGATGTACTCCTAACAACCCAGCAGATTATACGCTCAACTCTAGAAAAAACGTGTTTCCCGTGCAGATATTTGTGTCCAAATGCCACAAGTATCACAATTTTCTTGTTATGCAAAAAAACTGCTGTAGCCACGATTCCTCTCCGTCAGCACGTAGACCAGAGCAGTTGTCACATTAGAGTCCCCTGAGAAACACATAATGGACTCCTCCTATACTGCGTGAGCACGACATGGCCGCAGGCAGAGCGGGTGGCAGGGGAGCGCCAGGAACAATCTCTCGGCATCTCCCAAGGAAGGCCTTCTCGCTCAATAATTAGACGTGCACTGGCTCACTATGTGTGTTTAGCAGTTGCAGGCAATGCGCTGGCCACACACACTTTCTCGCACATTTTTTTACCTCCATTTTACTCTCTTTTCTCCAATCACTTGATGCTTGCACGCGGCATGCGGTATGAACACGACCCCTCCCTCTGGCATCCTCCCGTCAGCGCTTCTCCCGCTCCCTACGTAGAGCATCTCATTCTGCTGACGATAACATATAGTCAATGAGCTTCAGCCCTGGTGACCTATGGCCGCTCAGACTGTTACTCACTGACTCCCGGACTAGAAGCTCTTGTTCCTGAGGTGCATACACACAAGTAATCTGCTAAAAGCTACCGTCGGGCGGCCTCCCCCCTCCGTCACGACTGTCAGCGCTGCGATGCCTCTGAGAGCTGCCACGTGAATGGCGCTGGGAGGCACAAACAGTCCCTTCACGCCCACCTTTCTCCGGCTGTTGTTTTCCTCAAGCTTTCCACTGTGACATCCCGCTTTTCCTTCAAACAAACCAGGGCGTCATACACCATGTCACTTCGGTCTGTTGCTATGATGAAACGTGCAGATCTCGCTCTGCATGTTAAGTCAAGACAGCACAACGTGGTGTGTCAGATCCTGACGGAATATTTTAACTTTTGGGGGATGACAAGTTTGTTAAAATGTCTCATCTCTCTCTCTCTCTCTCTCTCTCTCAGATCTCCGATGCCCTTCAGCAGAGCTATGCGACGTCAGCACTGTGGCGGTTCCTCAGTCTGGGCTATGCCCTCATGCTCTGTCCCTTCATCATCGTGCTGGGGGGCATGTTTTTCCTGGCCACGGCACTCTTTTTCCTGGATGACAGGGAGAAGGCAGAGAAACAGTAAGTGATTCAGACGTTCTTTGCGAAGCTCATTATTTCTTTTGTCATTCATTCTTTAAATATTTAAGACGTCCTCCGTTGACATTGTGACTAAGAGCTCCACAAATCCAAACACACCTCATCAGTGCACGAGGCTGGCGAAGGAGCATTGAGACGCTTTACCCCAGTGGGGGGGGTTTTGACGTGTGTCAGGGACAAGTACCCCAGTGATGCCAACAAACCCTGTGAAACGCCCCAGAGTCAATAGAAAGCCCCAATCAGCTATAAGTGCTGCAGAGCTGACACAGGCGGTCCAAGCCATACATTTCTCTAAGTGTTCTTACATATACACCTGCATCCCCTTTTTTTATAAATGCATTCATATTTTTCTCTTTCAAACAGCAAAAAAACGCAAAACCCACAGTTGCACCGTATAGCTCTTCATGCCCCTAAAAGGCAAAAACAAACACACTCATCCTCTGTCAGGCTGTGAGACATGACTTCTTGTTTCTTTCTGACTATTTTTTCCTACTGTTTTTTATCACATTGACTTGTGCCAGCGCGCTCAGAAATGACTTCCTTCCTGTTGGAGATGAGGGACATTTTTAGACAGGATGGCAGCCTGACGTCTGACGTCTGTCTGCAGCCGCTTTGTCTTCACTATTAGCAGCTTGTTTTGCCCGTGCCAAAGCCCCTTGTAGAAAAATGATTTTTGTACAACTAAAGCAGAATAAGACCAAAAGTGATTTTATGTAATTAGAGGGCAGTTTCAGTGGACTGCATTTTATAATCCCGGGGTCAAGCCACGATCCCGGGATTATAAAATCCATCTGCCGTTAATATTTCCTCCGTGTAATCACGATAATATTTGCTCTGTTAGTTTTAGAGCGGTCTCTCTCTAAGCTGTGTTGTGGCTTTTGTTGGTTCTCATCCAGTAAAAAAAAAGAGAAGGAATGCAAAAAGCAGACTGAAAGAAGAGTCACACTTCTCCCGTCTGCCGTGCCTGTATGAGATTAGTTTGTGGTCCAGTATGTGGTTTAAGCAATCTCACCACATGATTCACAGCTTGCCACTTGTTCACTCAAACTATATCTGACCACGACCCCTTGACTTTCACACAACACGCTGTAGGGCAAAGCTGATGGAGTAAATATTTGGAGGCATTGGACGGTTGTTGCTATATGCGCTATTTTCCAAATATAATCCTTAACATTGATGTGGGGTGTCTGGCTTTTGAGTTTTACTACATTTAAAAATCAATTTATATTAAAATATTGTCAACAATTTTTGATAAGTCACCCTATCCAAAGGTCACTAATAATTAATTAACTTTCTTATCAGCTACAAGATATTAATGTGAAAAACCTTTGTGTTGCCAGGTTATCAAAAATATCTCCTGCGTTTTAGTCTCTAAAGGTGCAAAGATAAAATGTACGACATTATTATAGAAGCTATTAGCGATGTAAAGATCTTGTGAGCTATAGCAGTAGTGCTCTTTGCACGGTTTTCCAGAACTGCATTCATCTACAGTAATCTATTGTAAAGATGACCTATCAGGGGAGTTCCTGTTCCCTTCCAGCTTTTCTTGCCTCACCTATAGGCTGGGTTAATCATAAACCAGCTTGTCAGATTATATCAAACTGTTTATTTATTCAGCAAATATAACCACCTCATATCCCACACGGAAGACTTGAGGCCTCTGCAGCACTGTACCGATTTGTAGAAAGGCTCCCAATGGTGAAAAAAGTCAAACTTAAGAAGCAGCAGCTCTTACGTAACAATCCGCGAATTACACCTCAGGGACTAAGAAAGATGGCAACATCCACAACTCTGTACAGCGAGAGTTGTTTCATGATTGTGATATTAATAGATTCCATTCAAGCAATAAAGCCCCTGATTTATACAGAGCATTTTGCAGCGTTTCTTCCCCCTCCTTTGAGTCTGTCCTCAGATACTCGGCGCTATTTATAAAAGGCGCGCAGCCGAACAAGTAACTCACTGGAGCGCGCTTTTCTATTTCCAGCCCAAAAGAGTGCTTTATTATTTCTAAGTTGTTGGTTTTTTTTCGGCTGCAGGGATTCCATTAATAGCTCTGGTTCCGTGTGTCCCCCCCCCCGTTTAACACATTCACCCGGTCCACATTTACACAGCGAGCGGGATTGACTCCTCTGCCGTGCCAATGCTCCTTCTTGATAATAGGCAGTCTGGAGGAATAGGATGAGGGACAGGCCGAGGGAGATAAGCCACACTAGGAGAAATTGTTGGGAAAAGTGGAGTTGAAGTTGTCTGAAAGTGTTTGTGCATCTTTGATTCCTAAAGACGTTGCTCTCTCCTCAGGTTGAGCCAGATGACACGACCACCCTCCACAGTCAAGGTATGACCAGGTAAATTGCCTTTCATCCAAAAGAAGCTTTTAGACTTTAATGCTTTTCACCTGTGGTTTAAGTGGCTTCTAACAAAGAGACAAAGAGGTCTCAGAACATCAACGTTTACAGGGCTCTCTTCTCATTACCTGGGATCCATCAAGTAAAGACTCCTATCATTAGGAGGGACAGAAAAAAAAAGGTTTTCAGGACTTAAAACGCTCTTTGACCCGATGCTATCCAAAGCTTAATGACACATGGTAGTAACACCCAAATGATTGATGTAGGTAATACTTCAGATTGTAGACGTTAACTCGAGAATGCAAACATGGATTTTGCAAGAGGAATCATGTGAATTGAATTCAATGCATTTATTTTAGATGTTACATATCTGCACCCTGTCCTTGCTACTGAGGCGGTTTGTGCTCGCAGCTGCATCAACCCCATGGCATTTGTAAATAGTAATAGTGTGATAGATTACCCAACGCAAGCTTTGAAAGCTCCACGATTTGCATTGTGCATTGATGAATGGGAGGCAATGGCTGTCTTGAAGGCAGTAAATCAATCTAGTGTTGGAGACTTTAGAAAAAAAGAATGACGAAATATCGTGGTTACAAAGTGTTGCAGTTAGCGTGCTACAATATGCAAAACTACAGCCTTGTGGCCTTTTACTGAAGGTCATTACCATTGACAGGGTGTCATTAGTATGCACACTTAATGATAGGTGACATGAAAGGCTCCCGCACACATCAGGTTTCAGGGGACGCTCATGTGCTGTACAAGTGTTTCATCTGTCCTCCGACTGTCACACTCAGCAGTTAAAGCGTTTTCTCCGTAGTGTCTAAGGAGGCTAATTATAGAGAACTGTGACTACAGTGGCTTGAGGTCAGATTCAAATTCACCTGAAAAATGATTCATTGAAATTGTAAAGTGAATCGACGCGACGCACTGTGGTGATTGATTGTCAACAAATCTGTCGTGGGGGATAATCCAATCAGTGTCAGGCACTATTTCCTCCCTGGGGACTTGCCGATCAATACAGTTCACAGTTCATCCGCTCACCGTTGACAAGTGTTCCGCATTCACGCCTGCTCTGACCATTGTGTTCCGAGTGGTGCAAGACGCCGCTCCGGGAACCAATTAAGGCAGAAATGTGGAAAGGCGGCGGTGTGGAGCAGTGGTAGAATTCAGAGTACAGGAACAAGTGCTGGGTTCTGACGAGGAGGGGAAGTGAAGGAGAGGGATTCAGAGGAGGAGAGAAATGACACACGCCCGTTGCACAAAATGAGGATAAAGAGGAGCAGTGACGGCCTAAGCCGTTTTCCATCGCGATCATATTAATCTCCGGTGAGGGAACCCCAGACGCAGATCAGATAGGCCGCGATCCAATTAACTTCCTCTGCAGGAGGAACCCGCCTCCGCTGCCCAGATTGACCCCACGGTGCGTGATTACTAGAGGACGTCCCTGAGCTGGGGGGGAGGGGGCTGTCAAAAGACCGGACAGCGTGGCTTTGCGCTCATTTATTCAGTAACCACAATCTCATATTACTGGTGGGGGGGTGGGGGTGGGGGGGGAGAAACTCACATCTCGAGGCCAAACTCTGATTTAGTCACCGCTGTCCAAACTTTAACTGTTAAAAGTGTTTACACAGCTGCAGGCACTCTTATCATTTAACAAAAGCTCAGAGTCCCCAGTCAGCAGAATGGGTTAATGATGCCCGGTAGTCCAGTGACCACAACACACACACACACACACATGATGGGACCTGTTTAGGTTACAAAGCACTCAGAAAGGCCCTCGATTCTCGTCCTCTTTCATAATACAATGAATACGTGAAAAGAAAGAGCTCTTCTCTTTACATTAAAGTATCCTTTGTCTCGTGTACCAACCCATCCGCCACTCTCTCCATCCGTCCTCGAATGAGAGGCCAGTCAGTTTTCACGCGCCTCGCTTCTTCGAAGCCAAAACCCCAAGTTTACCCGCTTACCAGACCGGTCCACAGTGAAGTAGTCTTCAACTAGTCGGGCCGATGTCACACGCATCAAAGCATTCGCAGCTTTAATTATCACGATGGCATTTGAGTTTGGCTCATAAACACTTCACAGTTTACATCAACAACCAACACTCATAAGGTAGGGAAACGGTTCATCCCTGAGAGGATTGGATCTGTATCCGCAGAACCAGAACAACAGTCCTCTCATCCTCCTGCAACGCTATATTATTACTCTACTTACATTCACTTGTCTCCCGGCGTTACGCCAGATTTATTTATTTATTTGGATTAAAATTATTTGACATTAAAAATAATTATTAATAATCAGAGGGGGGGTCTGCCTCAAACCAACTGTTATGTGTTGGTATGTTGTGTGCAGGAAAATATTTAGGTCACAGGCTGGTCCTTGTGTGCAGGCATGATCAGGGAGGTCCTAACAGATGGCTCAGGAGCTTCTGACCTCCACATTAATTACATGTCCTATGGTGAGTCCAGACTCTAATGGCAATATTTCCTTCCCACTCTCTCCCTCCTTCTCTCCTCTCTCTCTCTCCCTCACTCTCTCTCTTGCAGGTGACAACAACATGAGGAGCCACTTGAAGGAGCAGCCAAACACTAAAAGATGACACATTGGAGTTAAAACCAAGGAAAGCTGATCCCCTCATTTGAAGTCACGTCCAAGTTCTCGTCATTGCTGTCCTCGCCACGATCCTCCTCCTCTTCCTCCTCCTCTTGGCTCCTGCTGCCCTTTGTCTATACAGTTTCACAGAAGCTGCTCAGAACTAGAACGAGGGAGCGTCTTGCCCCTCCTTGATACGCCTCTAAATCCCAGGTCTGTGAGAAGGAGCACAGCCGCCGGCTGATGCCGACCAGCCGCCAGCTGGTGTCCTCCACCCCTCTGTCCCAGAGGATCCACTGAACCTTCCAGGGAGGACTTTGGGGTGCGGCAATCCCCTGTGACCACCCCTCCCCCCCGTCCCCCCGACTCCTGATACCATACTACTGAATGCTGACAATGAACCTGCCTGTCTGTCTGCTCGTCTGTCTGTTGCATTGGCTGTCAATCTGCACCAAGTGCCATAGCGTCATTACATTCCTTCCGACTTTGCACTGACCCACGGCCCTCATGACTTGTGATCACTGACTGTGTTGACATGCGCACCAGAATCCAGCCATTAGCGATGAAATCTGTTTGATTACGTGGCTCGACATCCGCATGTGTCAACTGCAATCATTAAGCTCCATTGGTGTCTCTGTTGCTCCAATGCAAATTACCCACAATTCATTCTGCCTTGGCTTTTAAACACAGAAAAAAGCTGTAAAATTCAAGTGGAGTGAGAGATTTGGCGCTTCCCGGTAGGAGTGTAATTCCCAAAGACTCTGATCACTCTGCTCGTAAGCCCTCAAAGCGAAAAACTGTTACCATCAGTAAAGCATCCGTAAAAATTGGCGCTTTCCCATCAAACAGCTGTTTCCTTTGACGGCCTCATGTGTTTTTCTTATTTTGAGCCTTTAGCACTTACATAGGCGTAGACAGATCCAGAGAACGTGATTTCTGCACATTATTTTTCATTAGCTCTCTTGTGATTTTTTTTTTTCTGCATGATGTTGGATTTGAAACGGGAGGTCACTGCCTATGATTGTTTCAGAAGGAATGTGATGCAATCCGGGCAATTTAAACAGACACTGGACGTTTTTTTTATAATTTATAAAGTGCATGCTTTTCCCAAAAGTAAAAAGAAAGCTTCTCTTCTGACTTTTAAGGAGTAGCTTAATGTTTTTTGTGTACACGAGAAGCAATACAAAGAACCAACCTTTCTAATCCACACTGCCTTTTCAGGGAGAGAGGTTTCTCTTCAGAGGGATTAGCTCTCTGATTGCTGGTTTTCAATTTCTGGACACAAAACCCACAGGGACGGAGTCGCTTCTAATGTCCATGCTGGTGACAATACCAGCCATTGTGGAAAGATACCCTTTTTACTTCGCAATTGTAGATATCCCATTCCACAATTAAGAGAAAGGACCTTTTAGGAGAGCAGGGGCTGTCGACATCTCTCTATTACTGAGGGGAATCAAAATTCCAGACAGCAACAGGAAATCCTGATGGCAACTTCTTATCACTTACAATGCATTAGAGAGGAATCCCCCCCATCCCCTTTGAAACCTGACCAGCAAGTCCTGAGATGTCTCTGCAGGGGTCTCCTTTAATACCCCGAACCACACATCATAGAAGTACACAAAAGGGGGGTGGGGGGTTCAACTGGTGTTTGTAATCATGCAACTTTAATGCAAAACATCAGCTATAGCTAGTTGCTTGTAAAAATTTAGGTAAAAACGTCATTAGAAGCTACTCTGAGGGACCCTTTTTGGTGCAAGTACCTCGTGGATAAATCTTCACTGCAACCCGCGATGGCGTCAGAGGTTTGAAACACACAACACATAAAAGGAGAAAAAGGCACTTTTCAGACCTCAGAGAAAAAACAGGAGGAGGAGGAGAGAATGACCTTCGCGGAGGCCCAAAGGGGAGGTTGAGGTGGTTCTTGTAGCATCGATGTGCGACCATGACTCACCGGCTGTGTGCAGGGAGCTGTGTGGGCAGCGTCTTTGCTGCCAGATCAATAGCTTTAGCTTCTCTCCAACTGCGTGGAGCTCTCTGAATGTGACGCGTTTACACACCTACATCTTCTTAATGGACTCAGCTTACCTCCTTTTGTTGATTTTCTTTTTCTTAATGTTACCAAATGAATTAAAAAATGTAATAACTACCATAGAGATATAGATATATATAGATATATATAGATATTAAGCTATATCACGCAGCAACTTTAATATATTGTAAATGATGGCTTGGATGCAATGTATTTATTTGTTTGTTACCATAATGAAAAATAATCTATAAAGGGAAGTATAAGGTTTGAGTATACTACAAATTGTTGTATATCATTGGGTGTAGAAATTGTTTGTTCATCCTTTTATATCACCATGAAACTACACAAAAACATCATACATCACTGAGATGTATCCCGTTTACTGTGATCATGACCTGGACATCTCACACACATTACACACACAAAAGGAACTGCGATATGATGGATGTGTCTAATGTTTAGGGTGCAATACATTCTGCATTCATTTTGTAGCTCTTGTAAAGTTTTTTTTAATTATTATTATTTTGAGAACATCCGATCAAACCATTTTGCACGCCTAATGTTCAGGGATTGATTTGAACCGCAGCCTCAGAAGTCTGTCACGTCACGCTCACGACACTGTAGTTGCTGACATGTTGTCACCTGACACGAGAAGGGACGTTGGCTCTGTTCAGACGGGTCACCAATTGAGTTTTACTTTGCCAAATTTAGTTGATTCAGCATCAATTATTTAGAAGTATAAATCCGTTGTATTGAGTAATTCTACCTTGATAATCACTGAAGTGATGTGCTGAGAAATGTTCTACTTCTTGTCATACAAGAATCCTGTATAAAGAAACCTATTTCTGATATTGAGCAGAAAACAGAGGTTATTTTTTATTTTTAGAGCGTGTCAATACAAGAGATGTGTAGAGAAATCAAAGGAATATTGTTCTAGAACTGAACTGTGACGCTCCTTCCAGGGGGTTGATAGAAAATGTACATGTCTGTAAATCAAATAAACCTATTTAATCACTTCATACCACCGCGTTGTCTCTTGTTTCTGCTCACTCTCTCCTGCATTCATAACATCCTAATCAATCACCCGCAGGGTCTTCAACTAACAACATGACTAGGCCTTAAATTGAGGTATATGCTACTGTATTATCTCTGAAATGACTTCATGTAAGTTCCTGAACTACAAACCAGACACTGCTGGATTTCCACCTCATGGATCATTTCAGAGTATGAATGTGTCAATGCTCATATTCTGTAGAATTAGTGTTGCTTCTACCTTAAACATTTTTTTGTTGTTTTTCTCAGAGCCCGGTTTCAGTAACAAGTTTTTACAAATTGTACGTATAGTTTAAGTTCAGCGCGGAGCATGTATCATCCGCAACATGGTTACATTCACCTACATTGCCTCAAGCAGTTTGGGCATTTAGTCATTTTAATTGTCCATTTGCTCTGAAAACCATAATGTTGACCTTTGTAAAAAAAATGAAGTACGTTAGAACTTATGAATATGTTTTAGGATCTTCTAAAAGACTAACTAATTCATCTATTGTTCTATTCATACACTTGTTCGGTGGAGTTCGGTGAGTCAGGTCAAAGGTGATGCATAGACTTCTTTATTTTGAAATGCGCACCACTTTGAGAACTGGACACCATTTCTTCTTTTCTCGACATCTTTGCAGAATCACAGTGAGAGACGGCCGGAGTCGATCCGTGAATGAACTGCTGTATTGTTCGGGTGCAGTCAGGCAAGCCTCTGTGAGGGTCAGTTTGTAAAGTAATCTCGCGGTCCCGGAGTGGTTCAGAGGCGCAGTAACACATCCCAGACATGCCACACGTGCTGTGGATGCAGTGGAGGGGGGGAAAAAAATGTAATATTTACCTTCACGGGAAGCGAGGAAGTCCGCCGCTGAAGGCCCTCGTTGTGCTGACGTTCATTAAAAAAGGCGGAGCTGCCTAACGTGGCAGCTAATGGCACTAATGGACTTGGTCTATGACAGGGCTGCAGAAACACAATGAGTACGCATGCACTGCTTTTGTCGTAGAGGAAGCGTGGAGATGTTGACTGAGAGGCCTTTAATTAGGCAGGGCCACTATTTTAAACGGATCATTGTATCCGACGTGCCCTCCGTTTGAAGAGGGCTAGATTACATAGGAGCCAGAGGAAGAATTGGTATTTGGTGGGCGGATGACCAGGAGAAACCTATACCCTTTCCCACAGTCACACCAATATGTACCCCAAAGTCAAAGTCAACACACCTAGTCATGCAGTATACAGGAAACAGCGGGGCGTCGGCAGGAAAAGGGGAGCCATTCTAGCGAGCACTGGAATTTCCATTTGCGTTTTGCCACATAAGGACGGACTTTGTACACGACGCAGGCTTAAATCCAGGCTGACAAACAGCCACCAGTGGATGAAAAATGTCAGCTGGGATTTTAAAAACAGCTTTGTTAAGGCCATCCATTTTTTATATGTGACTTCAGTAGGGATTGCAGCGGCATGTCGTTTTCAAAATGTACTTGTGAAGAATGAAGTCAAAGAAATAAAGGTCGGGGTTAAACAGGAGATGTGGTGATTCTTCTGTCTGTGGAAAAACCCGTCATTAGCAGTATCACATCTCCACTGTGAATATCTCACCTTCTCTCTGTTGACACCCACTGACTTTTCCAAGCTGCTTCATACCGTAGAATCCCAGCAGCTAAAGCCAGCGTGGCAGGAACATTACGAAAGTCTCACCTGGTGCGCGGTTTGTCATGTTCCCAGTCTCCTTCCATGTGAAATAGTTTAAACTGTTTGTGAAGGCGAGATCCCGAATCTGTTTTCCATCTATTACACCAACAGTTTTAGTAGCAATTAAGGATGACATTGTTTTTAGTTTACACAGTCCACGGGTTCTTGACAATACGAAAAGATGAATAAAACATTGATGGAATGAGCAAAGACTACGGCCCACGCTGCTTTGTGCGAAGACAAACATGCAAACCGACGAGCTTAAGTCTCCTAATGGCCCCCAGCACATATTTCTTGTTACCAACACAAGTGAACAAGAGGGATTAAAAGGAGGAACAGAGAACAACAATTCACTCTCCGGGCTCTTAATGCAATTGAGAGGAAAAGGCAGAAATAGCTGCTTCATTAGAGGTTCGCTTGAGGCGGGGACATGCTCAAGTTTTCAAACACTGTCATTATAAGAAGACAGGATGAAGATCAAACAGCCCAGTGACCTTCACGATACTCTGATGCCTTCCAAATACTTACTTAAGAAATAGTTGGAAATGGCATATGCAAAGAGCATTTATACAATATTGTATTTCATAGTAAAGTATACAGTGTGCAGTACATCAATAAACTTAGTCATATTTCATTTAAATCTACGTGAAATTGCACATGAAGACAGGAATATCTTTCCTCACATTAAGTGTTAATATGTCTTATTTCAATGCAGAGGCTGCTGGGGAAAAACACAAAAATATATCAAAAACTGCTACCAAAAATGTTTGTGTTTTTTTCTACCTCACTGAGTCAAGATATCTAAACAGAGATATTCCTGGTGAGTTTTTTTAACTGTACTTTTTGGGGAGGTGAAAGTGACAAGTGACTCTTGAGGTACGCAAAATACAATCTTTGTCACAACAAAACAATTAACAAAGAAAATACCGATTGAACATGATTACTTATCTAAAGGATGTGGAGTCTTTAACTTATGTACAGCATTTGGAAAGGAAACTAGAACAGTTACAATAATATACAGCCAATACATCTGGAGAAAATGAAATGAATCCACATTTCATGTAGAGACAAGGTGCGACAATTGTTGCTAACATCCTTTCCCATTGTTGAGCATCACTTCCCTTCTTACTAGTGTGAATGGCCGGCCGGCCCTCAGGACCCAACTGAGCCTCAGCTGTCAGGCTCTGCATTAACGCGAGGCTCTGCGTGTGTATTAAAGACGCCGACACATGTTCCAGAGGAAACGTGAGATGTCGGCCTCCGCCTCCTCTTTAGTGTCTGCCCGTGTGGAATGAATAAAACGTGTGCTTTATGGTGGGCTGAGCAATGTCAATGAAGCAACCGAACGATTCAAGAGGACGTGAATGGTAATAGTCGGGCCTGCTGCAGTCGCCCCCCAGCTACTTACAATGATCACTCATCGTCTTCGGGCCTCCAAGCAGTGGCTTCACTTCAAACTGTGCCAGTGAGGTCCTCAATGCGACGAGGGATTAATTTGATTTGCATGCTCACTAATGAGGATGTAATGTAAATTGACAGTGGAATAGTGTGACCGCGACTGCGCTTGTTATGTGCCGCAGTGGGTTCAGTGTCACGGGTGCAGCAAGTGTGAGCGATGAATTGCAGAGTTTTCTGAATTAACCATGAGCTGCTTCTGCTCGACTTGGCGTAGAGTGAATGATGTTATTTGGCTTTCGTTGCTGTTTTTAGCTCGCATGGTTCCATATTTAGAACTTCTGTTTCCACTGCAGCATGAACTGATTCAGAAATACTTACCAAAGGGCTATTTATGCATGCGCTCGTGTGCATCCACAGTAGCATCTGTATGCATGTGTCCCGCATGTCAAGGTCGGGAAGAAGCTCTGTGAATGACGTGCGTGCATCGTCTAGGCTAAGGCAAGGAACGGCAACAGCTCTGTGTGAGCGGAGGCAGAGGAGCACGCATGTCTGAATTCACACATGACAAATAGCAGGTTACACAGATGTGTGCAACCGAGGAGGCCCTAAATAAACTGATGCACACTAACAGATCAGGCAACTCACTCGGCTTCAGGAGCAAACAGGATCCACTCTTCTAGATCTTTGCATCATTATAAAGATAAAGATATTAGTTCAGGATGTTCCATTATTTTGTGCCGTTTCGCTTTCCTCGTCAATTACATGCTCTCCAACTTGGCTGAATCAGTTATGCTCTAATACTGTGCAGCATAGTGGATGATAGGGGCTCAGGTGGTGGAGGAAATCACAAGGTTCCGTGTTAGATCCTCGACTACTTGAGGTGTCCTCGAGCGAGACAATGCACCTGTAACCTCAGCCCATTACATGGCAGCTTCTGCCATCTTTATACGGATGGGTAAATGTAGACACGTACTGTAGAGCACAGTGAGAAGGTCAGTAGACAAGAAGACGGCCCCCTCTACTTTAAACACCGTCCCATCAGCTTCATGAACTACAGTGTGATTACAGATGAATTCACCAACCACATCTTTGTCTTTGGAAATCAGTCCACAAAAAACTAAAATTTGTTTATATATATATTTATAAAACACTAACGTAACCTTTACTGATATCGGATGTTATGCAGACTTTACTATGGACAAACTCTTTCCACACTGTTCTCTTCTTTCACCCTCCTTTCCTTTGACACAACCAGAGAGAGGCGGGCAGGAAGCGGTTGAGCAATGAATGGATGCCATTTAGGGAGCTCTCCAAAACTAGTGATAAATGGGGTTGATAGATTAGTCATGATGGTAGGTGATCTTCTCATCAGTCCAACCACAGACGTTTTGTATTTTTTCATTTGTGCTGCAAAATGCTCAAAAGTCAAAATGATTTTGGATCAAAGTAGAATGCCAAGTAGATGTGTGTGGCTGAAAGGGCACTGAAGTAATTTCAGCCCTTACTCACTTCATGTATGTGCATGAGTACATTTTGTCATCATATTTCTATTTTTTTCAAACATCAAAAAATGTACGCATTCACCGCCATATGTGAAAGCTCATATGCACTTCCATTGACCTCATCCTCTTATTCTACCACAGGAATCTCCTGTGCGGCGCTTTCACATATGGCAAGGAGAGAGTGGAAGAAGATTTATTTTTTCTATGGAGCCTCAGGAAATGGTCTTAAATTCAATCAATTTATGAGGACCACCGACCAAATAGTGCTTGAATCCTAAAATCCTATTTAAGGAAGATGACATCAAAAAAGAAGATATTGTATTAATAATCATAGAATAAAAAGATTGGAGACAGTATGCTTGGTACCAGATGGATACAAAGTATTCTTATATTAAG